CGAAAAAAATGTCGATTCGAACAAAAATATTCAAAATATAAGATTACGTATCACATATTTATACTAAAAATATTAAAAAATGTATCAAACTCTTATTGCATTCTCTACATACGTAATTTTTTATCACTCGAAAATGTTAAAATTTCGATGTGAGTTTCGAATTGACAACTTTTCCATCGTAACGACGTCGAAACGATTGCGTTACTATTTTTGATTGGGTATTTATCATAAAATTATGAAAAAAAAAAAAAAAAAAAAAAAATTTTCCTTTGGGAACTAATTTCATAGTGCTTCGAAACGGTCACCGATTGCATACTATCCACTATCCTTAACTTCTGAATGTATGGAAAACGCTGCATTTTGACCCTCGAACACCTATATAATCATGGATATAATTATGATACGGATGTTGTCTGTTCAATATGGTCCTGATAGAAATTTTGTGCATTTCAACTAAACATTAGTCAGTTGTTTAATATTTAATCTAATCTTAATATTATAATGACTATTTTCAGGTTAGGAAATTATATGATGTACTTTTACAGTACCAGTTATCATGTATATCGTCCTCGACTAGAGATCTCTCTCTCCTGTCGATAATAGTACGTCGTATTAATACGATACGAGATATGTACCATGGTGTATTAAACCAGTATGCAGTATAAATTTTTTGTCGTTGAAAATTTTTAACACAGATATCCTATGTCCATGGGATGTCCATACATACCAACAAAAGTGAAACTCTGCAATCTTAAAAAAATTTTCACTTGTCAAATCAGCGAAAGCAACACGTCGTGAACAGATTTAGAAAATTTTTTGTATAAGATGAACATTTAAAAAATGTCCAATTGTAAACATATTTTGTACGTTGAATAACGTACATTTTTAAAACATTCGTATTAAGTCCATGGACATTCGGACTAATAAATAAAAATCAGATTTAGACACTCAATGAGACGTTGGACCATGAACGTTGTGTGCTGTCTGACATTGTTATTGTCACTTGTATTGTTATTATTATTTGTATTTAGTTGATTAAATTTTTTATATAGTTTTTTATTAATAGTTTTTATTAATAGAAAAATTCATATGTAACGAGTACCCATTATTTAGTAGGATTCTTATTATATAATATAATCGAAATTTTTTTGATAAAATGAAAGATGTGAGAGTAATAAAACTCTATCAGTCAAATCTAAAATGATATCTTTTTCATAATTCGTTATAGAATAATGCGACTCTATTTGCTTGATGATTACACTTTGTAATGTGCTTTTAGTAAGCATATTATATTGAAAAGAAACTAAAAAGTGATCAAAACGTATATTATATTTGTAATTATTGTATTAAATAAAACTTTTTATACACAAAGCCATCTAATAGTGTTAGCTCTTATAAACAATTTTAAAACTTGAAAAAAAATTTGTTATGTACATGTTTCTTAACTTATAAATACTAAATACATTTCAAGAAGAAAAATTTCGATATTTATTCCTTATTTTTTCATTTTCATAAAGACGAATAAACGATTTTACCATAAAACCGTTGTATGTACGAATTTATAATTTATAACCGTTGTATAAATTTTATCATAAAATCGTTTGTCTGTCTTTACTGGAAAATAAAAAAGATAAATAAATATTGAAATTTTTCTTTTTAAAATGTATTTAAATAATAATATTTATAAATTAAGAAAATAACATACCAACAAATTTTCTTTATTTTATATTTTTATGTTAAAATTTATTCCGAAATTCTAATGACTCTTGCACACCAGCGCGATTCCTGACACGTAATACGCGCGACATCCAGGGGCTCGTATTTTGAAATGAGATTAAAATTACAAAAGTGAGCAATGATTACCAGGTATTGATCAATTAAATTATGATAAATATTCTAATGAATTTGTTCATTTTTATAATTTTCACCTCTTTTCAAGATACACAATCGATCTCCAGGTTGTCTTCACTCGAGTGCATCTATATCATTTTTTTTGTTGTTCACTGAATGTTACCTGAATCCGAAAGTCACGCATCGCGCTGGTGTACAAAAGTCATAATACTCCAACATTAGACTGCGTTCGCAAACTTCGCTTGGATGATACAAAAAACGTTGAAAGAATTATTAAGCCATAAGGAATTGATCAATTACAGTTAAATGTAAAGAAAATTAATCGAATATAATTAAGCTTATGATTAAATTAATTTTTTACTATACATTATTTCTTATTACACATACAATAATTAAATCCGGGCTAATTGGTTAATTTTTGATGATTTTAGGTTTATTACTCTCTTGTTACTACATCCACTACACCCAGGTTTCGTTCGTTTTCACAATATGTAAGGGCGTGCGCACAATAAAACAAATATCAAGAACAAGAATAAATATTACGATTTCAACTTTTTTATTTCAGATACCAGTTATATCGGAATACGCGGTTTTTAGTAGATTGAAATCTTATATTTCCTTCATTGTACGCAGAGCCTTAATTTATTAAATTACAAAATAGCGACTTTTCCCAAATGAAAATGACAATGAAGACGATTTTCCCAACTCTTTTCTAATAGATTTCATTCATAAATCCATTAAACAGAATTGCAGTCTTGACGCATGATAAAATTTGTTAATAACAAGAAAAATATTAATCGAATGTTTAAATACTTTATCTAAATTTCCTCAAATGATTTCCAAATTATACAGACATAAATAAATCATAAATATTCAATTTGTCTGCTATCTTGTCAGTGGTATCCATAACGCTGCATCTCTCATCAGTACAGATCTCTCATCTGACAGATTTCCTAACCTAATAGTTATGAGCTTTAACTTATCTCGGTTTGTGGGGCCGATCCAATATTTTTTTTTAGATTCTTTCGAGCAAAAATGCGCCAAATGAGCATAATTTCATCAAAATCGGAGGCACTCCGTATTTTAAATAATTACTCGAATTTTAACCGGATAAAATTTGTTGTCGAATAAATACTGCTATTTCTATTCCCGTTAGGTTACGTAGATTTAAAGCAATATTTTAATTGCCTCAGCTAATTGCCTCGGCTTAAGTTTATGTCTTACGGTTATGTCTTACGATTATTATTGGAATTTTGTCTGTGACAGCCCTTAATCATTAAAGATGACAATTATTTAGATTAGGAAATCTGTTATATTGATGATATAGAGGAATCTCGTAAAACTACTCGAGCAGGTAGACGCATGTTTCGCTTCGGTTGGGTCCTCAATCATTTTGTTTAAAAACGTTATCGATTCATGAGTTTGTATTTCTTAATCCTTTCATTCTTACGCGTCCATGCGGCGTAAAAACGAGTAGTCACAGACGTTTCCATTAAAATATTTGTTTGGAGGATCGTTTTATCATTTTTTATATGTTCTAAATATATACTAAATATGTATTAATAGACTCACAATCTTAAAAATAAAAAAAACAATAAATTTAAGACTAATTTGAGTCAGACCAATGAAGGTCTGACCAGAAATTAAATTCCAATTCAAAGATATTTCCATAGTGTTTAATCTTCTTTATTGAATGTTTTCTCTTTGTAGTCATCATCAGTAATGATACATCTCTTAAATCGTAATCATTGATCCTTCCGTCAAAAGTGAGTCACTATTAGATTCCCAACTGCAATGGGATCTCAAACGACAAGTTCAACATTTAAATGAAGCTTTGGAAGTTTCCATTAATTACAACTTCAAATTATTTTTTAATATTTAAACAATTTTCAAACTTATTATCCATATTAATAATGATTAAAATTTCAACTGTATTGAGATAATCAGAAGCGTCTGAGCAATACAGTTAAAAATTTAATCATTATTAATATGAATAATAAATTTGAAAATTGTTTAAATATTGTTAAAAAGTAAATTTGAAGTTAGTGGAAGTTAATGGAAACTTCCAAAGCTTCATTTAAATGTTGAACTTCTATATTTGAGATTCCACAGAATTTGATAGTGACTCACTTTTGACAGAAGGATCAATAATTATCATTTATAAAAAATATATCATTACTGATGACTACAAAAACATTTAATAAAGAAGATTAAACACTATGGAAACTAATCTTTGGACTAAAATTTAATTTTTGACACCTTCATCGACCTTGACTCGAATTAGCCTTGTATTTATTTTTATTTTCATTTAGATCATCTTTTGAGAAATCTCGGTTCAAGATGGCCGATGCATTGCATTTCTATTATATAAATTACCTAATTTTGAAGACCATCAGTAGATTCTAGCTATTTGTGGAGCCAATAAACCAAGAAGAAGAATGATGGCATAGAACATGAGAAAACATAAATAAGGCTAGAATATGTATTTTCTGCTTTAAAATTACACAAATTATTTTTTTAAAAACAAATTATTTTCTATATAATTTTCGTTTTTACAATAGAAAACTTGTTCTGATTAGGCATTTGTCTGTTTTAAAAACACAAATTCTTTAATTTGTTTTAAAAAATAAATTTTATTTTTGTAAAAACAAAAATTATATACAAAATAATTTATGTATTTAAAGCAGAGAATTTGCATTTATTAAATTTTGTCACTTTCTTTTAACTTATTATAACTTATTTTTGATCTTACTCTATAATATTCTTTATTTTGAGGCCTTTCTAGTTGCTATTTGTCTAAGTTGTTCTCTACTGTGGCATTGATCTCAGTTTTCATCAGAGCCTTCTATAATTATTTTTATTCTGGCCGTAACCGTTCTCTTGAAAGAACGGAGGCCATTTTTGTGCGAAGAAGACAGATTTTCTAATCTGAATATCTGTCAACTTTAATAATTAATCTTAGTTGATCTTATAGTTCTAGATCTTAACAGTTAATCTTAGTTGAATGAGTAGGATTTTTCTTATCAGATTCGTTCATTTTGTGCAAAAACGCGTCGAATAAGCCTACTTTTTATCAGTACCAGATGTAATGAGAGTGAACTCGACAATTATCACAAGAATATCTTCTGATCCTTAAAAATTTTACCTACTTTATACTTATCTCCAAAATATGCAACCGATACTTGCGATGTTTTCTTCTTCTAATAGTTATGATTTAATGATGCTTGTCGACGAAATAACGGAAAGTCTGGCCAAAAATGGTGGAACTAATTTAGTATTCTCTTCAATGCTAAAAATGGATCATGTAATGCTCAAATCAACATGTAATGCTGATTAAACTCGATCAATGGGTGCATTCAGAATGACAACCGCTCATTGAGCGCTCAATAAATTCTTTCATCTGATTGGCGTATTCCATCAGATCCTAAAATATAGACCAATCATGAAAGAGCTTACTGAACGCTTAGCATAGTATATATCATCTAGATCCTCATACAGGCAACAGCGCTTTGACACCGAACTGATTGGTGAAAAGCCGATTGTGGGGATAAAATTTATCTCCATTATCCGTTTTTCATCAGCGTTCGGTGTCAAAGCGCTGTTGCTCGTATGAGGATCTGGGCTTATATGTGTGTATAGAGTCCTAGAAATCAGAGATGCGACATGCGTCAGTTGGCACCATTTTAATTCAGTATAATTCAGTATAAGTGCTTAACCTTAAAATGCTTTTGCTGCTGACGCTCAACGCTCATTTTCAGCATTAAATCACATGATCAAAATTGATATTTGATATTCGTCAATTTCTATCACGTGACTTATTTTAACGCTGATAGCTTCTCTGTTAGGATGAAATCGCACGGTGATGGAAAATAACTGCGGAATAGAAAATGAAGCAATTAGCTTTATTCTGCGTTATTGTGAATAGCGCTAATTGGTTTGAATGGCCTAGTTTTCACCGAGGATTTAAACTGGATCAGAATGTAAGAACATTATCAACTATTTGACTCTTACATTCTGATCTGGTTTAAATCCTCGATGGAAACTAGGCCAATGACGCATTCCCTTTATTCTGCAGCCCTTTTCCACACTATGTGATTTTACTCTTATATCTATTTCGTCTAAATTTTTTAATAATGAAAGCTTATGCTCGTATTCATAATCAAATCCTTGTACTTAAGGCTTCTTTAAATATAAGGCCTATCTATGAATATGAGCATTAGAATTACACATACTACTGGAAGGAACATAGTTGAAACCGAGAAGATTGACAAGAATGGAGATAGAAAGCCGAGAAGATTGACAAAGATGGAGATAGAATGTGCCTAGTCAGCAATGCGCATATTCCAGACCAATATGCACGGGATAAAAGAGGTGAAATGTCTTTCTTCGCCTAGCCTCGTGCGCATCAGGATTGGTTCTTATTCATAAATCCACGAAGAAGAACCAATCACTTGGTGAGTAGGTTGCATTCCGAAATCCATAAAAAAAAATGTTTCAATCTTTCTGATCGGCTGTAGGCTTATCCTTCCAGTAGTATAAATGTTCTAAAATGTCTGCACATCTTTTGCATAACGCACAATGCAATAAGTGAAACAACTAATCAGAATCTTTCCTTTTCTTCCATTCTCTAAAAAAGAAGGATTTCGATTGGTTGATTCTCTTATGCACTATGCATTGTACATTGTTATGCGAGAGTCTGTGCAGCCTAAGAATGAAAATGATCTACGGGAAGACTCTTGCAATTGATCAAAGCTAATTGCGCACCCCGCAAATTCCGCTCAATAGGACATAGGAAAACACATTTTAGCGAAACGGAATTGGCGGAATGAAACTACGACCAATCACGAACGTTCCGCAGTTCTGCATCTCATGAGAGCGCACTCTTAGTCCGGATCTACTAGAGTGCGTTCTATATCGCGCATTAAGTGCATGGACAAGAAACAGAGAACAGAGAATAAGAATTTCAACCTATCAAAAATCATGTATTGTGGAATACACAGTTTCTGGTAGGTTGAAATTCTTAGTCTCTGTTCTCTGACTTTTTATTGTGCGGAGTCTCTAATGCGAAGCGTATTGAAATCGTTCCGTTTCATCGACACTCACAATGCGAGTCTTCGCACACATTAAATTGAAACGATTCTTAATACGCCTAACCGATACACGACGCACATTAACAACGCCATAACAACAATGGAAATAATTTCGACAATAAGTTCTTTGATAATGATAATGAAAAAATGACGATATTGATAGCGAATCTAGTGATAGCGATAATGAAGATATTTCTTTGAAAGACTGTCATATAGCTTTTTTAAGTTAAATACAATACGCGGAGAAGTTATTGCTCCTGTAAAGTTGTGGATTATGTTGAACGCGCAATTCCTAATTACTCCAGACTGGTGTTTAAAGAATATTTTTGATGAGTACAGCATGAAATATCTTACCTCCATTTTCATATTTAAATTGTATACTAGTAATTGTTATATATACTATTTATAATATAATTTATATTTTAGAATATTCCTCGAAATCTTTGAAATGAAATTTTCTTTAATTGGCAAAGAATTACAAGCAACGAGTGATCGAAAACAAATTTCTGCAGAAAAACAATTACTTATTGCGATTTGGTTTATTTGGTTATACTCCTGATTCCTACAGATGTATACTCAATTATATTCTTTTTATTAGATTCATATATAACTGCTACTGCAATTGATTAAGTTTTTGATAATTGTATTTGCATTAAGTGATGTACGTATCTTAGATCGATATGTATATAAAATTATATTATTGTATATATATATATATATATTGTATATATACATATAAATTTGGAATTAGTAAAGCCACTGTTTTTCAAGCCTTGAGGTGAGTTACATATGCTCTTCATTGCATCGCACCTCGTTTCATCAAATGATGGTAAGGAGATACTGCCATACAAGTAATTGAACCATTTAAAAATAAAATGTGGCTGTCCAAATATAATGGGTGCTATTGATGGGACGCATATTAAAATCCGAGCACCAATAGTGACCTTTTTACACACTGCTATGCAGGACAAGTAGGCTCCTTACATGATCTAGAGTCTTTAGAAACTCTCTAGTGGGACATTTTTTGGACATGCCGAATGTTTATTTTCCAAATAGTTCCAAATAACATTATTGGCGATGCTGCTTATGATATTCATGTGATAGTATCATTTGAAACAACGAGCATCTTTCATTCAGGCAATAAAATTTTAACTATTGTCATTCGGCTACCAGAATGGAGATAGAACGAGCTATTGGATTACTGAAAATACGATTCAGAATTTTATTGGATTGTCTTCCTTTAACAGATGTAAAGAAGATACCGGAGTTCATCATGCTGTGTTCTACATAATATTTGCATTTTGAAAAATGACATAATTCCAATTATAGTATGTGTTGCAAATAAAGAAATTGGACCAATTGTTCATAGTGATATAGCTAAGTAATGGGAAATGAAAAAAGAATAGCAATTATGAACACTTTACCGATAAAAATTGTAAATTAAATTAAATATTTTGTAAATAAATTGTTTGTATACACAAATTTTTATTGCTGTATATTTCTATATTGCTGTATACACACACACACACACACACACA